TCGAGATCAACCTTCAGAATCGATTCAACATTACCGATATCGATAATTCATTGGTTTGGAGTGGTTTAATCTGATTGGTTCCAGCCGTTTCGTCCAAGAGCATTCAATGCCATAAATTAAGTAGCATTATCAATCATGTTTCTTCCGCTTCACTACCTGAGCACGTGAATCAGATTTTCTTCGACCATTTACATCCTCGACTTCGATCACATCGAATATGCAAAAATAATATTGATTCTAATGTGGCTTTAACGGTGCCTGTAACGGAGAGAGCGATCATTGTAGGGAACCTTTCCAACATGCAGGAGGTAGTGAATCATGCGGAAAGTTCTCGTCACATGATCTGGCTCCATAGAGATACACACGTCACGGGAGTAGATTGGGATGTCATGACGTATGACAATTTCGCTTTACATGCTTGATGATTACCGCAATGACAGATGCTAATATTCTTTTTCTGCTGTATGAAGGAACTCGCTACACGTATGATTTACGTTTCTGAGTAAAAGAGTTTCTAGATTTCGTACCTTGTGACTCTAATATCAATTTTGTACTTTGTACTAGGGATTCTCCACGGCAAATAAAATGACTGTGTATGATATAAAATACCGTGTTCAATCACGATAGATACACCTTGAAGGAAAACTATGACGCGAAATATTTAAAGAATCGATTATCACGCCAGTGGTGTAATCAATTATAAGTATGATGCAATATTCGACGACGAATTTTCATAAAAACGATGAATTTTCTACACAGTGAAGCGATAATTACATTTTATCGGTGCAATTGGTAACAAACACGACGCATTACATCGAATGAGAACCAATTTGCTCTTTCGCGGGCTCTTTATCCGACGAAGTAAACAACGAAAACGAGTAAAATGAAGAATTTCAAAGTACAACTTAAAATACATGCACGTAGTACACGCGAAAAGGTGCAGTCGAATATTTGACTATTTGTTTGCCCAGGTCCAACACAAGTTTCTCATAGAGATTTGAACAAAGCTAAATTAGATTGACACGTAATCGCGAATTCACACGTTCATTCTCGGCAGGAGTGTGACCAGTTTAAAAATAAAGTTAACATTCATTATTTCCAACGAGATGACAGATGGCAGCCGGTTTCTGTTTTCCGCGGAAATTCTATTTTTCTTTCCACGATCCCACGTTTTAGGGGCTTAGGAAGCTGGCGGAAACAATTAGATGTATCATAACAACTAAATGGAATAGTTGATTGAAATATTCCTGCAACGTGTTTTAAGGCAGCTCACTTAGATGTTACGATTTTTGTTAACATAGAGTCAGTAGTCTCAAAAAGGATAATGAATATATCTTAATTAGCGTATTTCTTTCTTTACCATTTAGTACCGTATCGACTATAGCGTTACCTGCTTAAAGTAGTACTGCTGCATTGCAAAGTCTCCTCCCATGACTTGGATAGTTCGGTGGACATCCATTGAGCTGAATAGACTGCTCGTTTTCTGCAAGAATGAGAAATAGATAATTACATTCGTTACATGTTCACCGTATATGGAAGTGTTGATCGATAAAATCAACCAGTACTGAGAGTTAGATTACGCAATCAGTTAAATGTGTTACCGTGCATCTGGGTGAGAACATATGTTCGGAATATGTTTAAAGAATTATAGCGCGACGCTGGTGGCTGTGTTACGTAAATTGGTTGACCACCGAGAAAATTGATGGCTTTAAATCCGACACTTACGAATCGTAAAGATCTTGGAGTAATTTTCGACAAGATAATGGTTAAATAGAAACAAGGAAATAGAATCATCTCATGGCACGTGCCATTTTTCGTTCCCGAATGTGAGGTAGGTAAGTAGCCGAACGAATCAAATCGTCCACGCGTAGAATGTCGATATTGTCATTATCTCGACCTTGACCTACACTCTTACGGAGAGTATGACGTTAAAAGCATGCTGATGGTCGCGCGTCTGAGCACGCGCTGATGGCTATTTTTAATTAAAAAGTAAGGTAAAAGAAAAGGTAGCGAAAGTATGGTGATTCACGGTCACAGGCTTGAGAACACGTTAAACGATGTTTGATTGCAGATTAAGAAGACGGAAGAAAACGGTAGAGATGTATATGTGAAATCACGGTATTATAGTCCTGAGAGCTTCAAGATGACAGATATGCAATAATTCTCCAAAAGTAGACCTGATGAAAGTTCGAGAAGGTTGCATTAGCTTTCTACACAGTTAGCTTGCATGACGGCGCTAATGCGATTTTATTGTCTTTGTTTGTGGGTAGAGACCATTCGCGTGACATACCTCTCGCCCCGAGCACGTGACCAGCACGTGGTGAATGCATGTGTGCACCGTTTCACGCAGAACTGGACGTATCGTTGCGTGGACGCGAACTTGTGCAAGTAATAGGCTCTATGTCACGCAGGCCGCTTGACCCGCTCGTTGGTGTGCACACTGGCATGTAGAAAACATGTTTCCACGCTAGACGCGTCCACCCATTAACTTCCATACATCTTCTGCGAATCAAATTTTCTGTGTAGATATCGCTATCTTTGCATACAAAATACCCACGCGTAACTCAAAAATTGACACTCGATTCGATTAAATTTGATTAATGGTTTGTATATCAATACATTAGTGACCACCATTGCAGTGAATTTCATTCAAAAATCATTTATTTATTACGTATTTATCTATTGGGGTTTATCTCTATTGATTAGTGTCATTTGTAAAATAAATTCTATTGGAGAAAGTGTAATTTTCTCTTGGTCGTGTAATATGGAAAATTCCATTCAATGTGGATAACTTGAATTCGATCTCAATGCTGTGATTTAAGAATAAAATTACTGGTTGTATCAGTAAAATATTCGCTACGTTAACATTTTGCTTCATGAGCGATTGACTCGCTTCACAAACTTTCTAACGCGATAAGTCTTTCTTAGGTTTACGCGGGAATCTCTATCTCATACCAACATTCGGGAAAATGTAAAAATGATTATTATCATGATACTGTATTGTTTATGCTATCTTGTCCTTGGTACAGCTACCTTTAATCTTCTCCGTCTTTTCTTGTTTGTTTACATTCTTAAATGATGGTTTATGCCTTAATTTTTTTCCGTATCCGTGCAATTAATAGATATTGTGGATAACAACTGAAAAGAAAAATTAATTTGTAATGCACAGAAAATATATCGGATAAATGCTACATATAACAGGAAACAAGGATATTCTAATCTTTCTTATCATGTAGATCGTATAACGATTAATTGCGGCCATCCGGGAATATTAACTACCATTAAACATTAAACATCTTTAGTTACTTAATGGTGCACGTGACCCAGTAAACACTTTTCTTATCACTGGAACAGGTACTCTTAAACAAACGATAATTCATCCTTGAAATTGAATCAAGTTAAAACTAAAAGTTTCTACGTAAGAAAGATTTTAACATGAGCCATTAACCTACAATGTTTGTTGCATCGTTGATGTTTCTATCTGACGAACAAGAGTTAGCTGCAAGTTATACATATGCGACAATATGCATAAGCATAGAATATTAATTTCTGAGAGAAACGACTGCTGATATTGAAAAGATGGTCACAGAATAAATTAACTCTTAACCGGTGGCTCACAATCATTGTCATTTTATTTTTCTTGGACATTAATACTGTCCGTAAGAGAAGTTATAAATAACACATTAAACTGCAAAAAAGTTAAAACTTCATATGAATTTCCAACGATTCAATGAAAGTCACATGTGCATTTATGTATACAACTACCATTTTGAATATCAAAAATCAATAACTTGACAATGAAAAATTTACCAGATTGAAAAAGGTTATTCCACGATTGCCTTGAGAATAAGTCGCCGAGCATTTCTGGTAACATTTTATTTAACCACAACAAGATCCGTGAATAATTCTGGCTACCAGCCAAACATAACAAAACGCTCGAGCATTTGGCCAATTGGACAAGTTTTTCACGAAGTTTGCTGCAACACGCAACGCAGGATGTCGGAGTTCTTTCGGAACTCGACTAATCGAGAGAAGCCATCTGTTCTGGACCACAGCATCGCCACCTTGTTTCCGGTAATAGAGACGTGATAGTGTTACCTGTCGAAAAAGATGGTTGCATCATATCGGTGACGTTCTCTTCGCGATCATTTTTTAAATATCCATGACAGAATATCATTAGATAAATGAACCTACTTTTACCACCGAATCGTTCATCACTGCACGTATCATACGTGTTAATCGAAGGCCGCAAGCAGGCAATGAAAATATCATTGAAATGATATTAAACTTCCTGCAACACAATAAGAAAACGATGATGAATATTTCATTTATGATTCGCTGTGAATTAAACACGCGATATATCTTATACGGCTAAAACATTTTCCCAATGAAGTTTCTTTTCCATTCGGGAGAAAACGACTTTCTCGATAGAGAATGTATATCTAATCTATTTAACGATTACCTTTGAGCTAAGAAAATTGTTATCATGCTCGAGATCGAAGGAAAAGTTTGTTCTCATTCATCCAGTTCCCGATTCATGAATATTTCAGACCATTCCCGAGCTCCTTGACATAAATTATTCTCATCGACTCACGCACTAATTTTAAAAGAATGGAACGCAACATGTATTTCAGTACGGCTGCCATCTAGCAGGAAACTACCGAACAAACTCGTCGGCATACGTGATTGTCGATAACACAGATACCAACGTTTCCAATAACATTTATAAAACTACCCGTCTTAAAATAAACAAATGCAAATAAAATAAAATAGAAATATTTCTTTTTTATTTTATTAAACACGTCCCATTAGTTCTAACGCGAGGCGTAATTAAAAATTTGTTATCGTTAATTAGCGAAAAGGGTGTCACGTGTCAATTAACCACGTGTAGCAAGAAGATTGTGGGGTCGAATAAGGGTGAAATACACGTGATCACTCGTGGGGCTTCAAGCAACCGGTGCCGATAATTGGATTACGAGGGAAACTACATTTTTAAGGTCAGCAGATTAACGGAACAATGTCATTCGTTCGTCGAAGCCCCGAGAGAAACGATGGATTTCACCCACAAACGAGTCTATCAGATTCTATCGGCGATCCTGGGACCGTTGGCAAGGGAATCGGAACAGGAGAACGAGGAGAATGAAACGTAACAATCGACTACCGACACTTCTCTCTCAAAGTTGATCGAAAATAATCGTGGCCGCGAAAAAGTTCATGTACGCTTTTAGTCCTTTGCTTTTTAACGATTTAGCTCGGTAGTATTCGCGAAAGTTATGAAATCGTCCAGTAGATCGCGATCGGAAAATGACTTTTCCTCTGTCAAACTACACGAACTTGACGACCTGTTGTATGGGAAACGAATGAAATTCTCGAAGACGTCGTTTCGCGTAAGTTAATCTAAGCTAATCTACCACCTCATCTATCGTCATTGAAGTCTCCCTGCTTTTTCATCATTGCATTCCATAACACGATATCAATTAGAGCAATTACTCGTTTAAACTGTCAGAAGTTACCAAGTGCGCAGTGTGCATTTAAGGAAAGTGCTTGTATATTCAAAGTTCGCAAGTATCCTCATAGTTCGCAACTTTCACTGATAGCTAAACGACGTCGAAGACTGTGTGAAGACTGACAAGAATGAATCGGAAGAGAAGAAGGAAAATTATTTCCCGAATTGTGACGCGTCCGTGTGGATGAGGTCTTGCAAGAAGGAAGTGATAGAACCAATAACTGGCGAGTTGACAGGGAAAATACCAAGTTGGCTGAAAGGAACCTTGCTGAGGAATGGACCAGGCAGCTTGCAAGTCGGGGAATACAGCTTCAACCATCTGTTCGATAGTTCAGCTTTACTACATCGGTATGTCTATGCAAAAATATGATTGAAAACTTAACTTTTGAAAATCGAATTTGACACTGGTTGCAAGTAATTTGCTAATCAATATGAGAACTTATCTTTCCAACGTATTAAGTTTGGTATACTTCTCTTCGACTTCGGTATGTATGCAGCCTAGACCTTGAAAGAAGTTCGTACTGAATACTAAGGAAAACAGTGTCAGCTAATTTTCATCGATCATAGTTTAGAAGCCTCACATGCGTCCGTACTAACCGTAACTCATTGTTTGCACGTAATTTTTTCTGAAACACTAGATTTGCCATCGTCAATGGAAATGTGACTTACCAGTGCAGATTCGTCCAGACGGACGTGTACAAGAAGAATAACGCAGCACAAAGGATAGTGGTCACTGAATTTGGCACAAAAGCAGTACCAGATCCTTGCAAAAGCATTTTTCAAAGGTACCAAAAGGTTATCGATAGCTTATTGCGTTCAAGGAATAGCGTTTATGGTCGCAATCAATCAAATTCTATTTAGGGTCGCAGCGGTATTTAAGCCAGAAAACGACTCTGATAATTCCATGATATCGGTATATCCTTTTTCCGATGAGTATTACACGTTCACGGAATCAGCGATGATTCATCGTATCGATCCAAAAACTTTGGAAACTACAGGCAAGGTAGCGATTTTATTATTCATACTGTCCGACAGTCGATTTTGACAGATGTACAATGACTATATTAGCATGATTGGCTATAACTGTTCATGATAAGCCAGATAAAAGGTTGCAATTGTATTTATCGATCTTTTGGTAACAGGTAAACGTGTCTAATTACGTTGGAATCGTAAATCACACGTCTCACCCTCACATAATGAGCGATGGCACCGTTTATAACATGGGACTGAGCGTGACACCACGAGGACCCCTATACAACGTTGTTTGCTTTTCGCCAAGCCGAATTGTTATTGGTTAATACTACTTTGGCCTTGGTGATAATTATCGAAGACTTTAAAATGTCGTATATTTCATTTCTTTCATAATTAATTTCTACAGATGATTCGGGAGAGGAGAAGGAATTATCCATGTTCGACCAAGCCACCATCGTCGCCAGCGTTCCATCCAGATGGCTGCTGAATCCCTCTTACATGCATACGTTTGGCATCACTGAGAATTACTTCATCATCGTAGAGCAACCGTTAGCAGTGTCCCTGACCACTGTGGTGTCCTGTAAGATGAAACAACAACCGATGTGCGCAGCCCTGAAGTGGTATGAGAACGAAAACGTAAGCCGACCTCTAGCAAAGACACGTCTTTTAATTTCCAGCTAAGACCTTATTGTTAGGGAATATATCTTGCTGTTTACTTTTCATAGACTCTTATACACGTGGTTTCGAGAGACACAGGATTATTGGAGAGGACGTTTATTTCAGAGGCATTTTTTTATCTTCACATCATTAATCAATTCGAAACACGTGATCGCGATTACGTGGTATTGGATATATGCTGTTATCGCGACGCCAAGATGTTAGATTGCCTATTTGTGGATGCAATGAAGGTTCGTAAGCACATAATTACGATAAAATTAAAAAAATGATTGGAAGCTGAATATCTTTTTTAATGATCACAGAACTTGCATAAGAATCCAGATTATGCCAAGATGTTTCGTGGAAGACCGCTGAGATTCGTCTTACCAATGAAATATCCACGGTCGGACGTGCCGTTGGAGTATAATTTAATTACAGCAAAAACGGTGAACCAAGGCCTGGAGTCTTTCCAAGATAACTCTGACAGATGCGAAAATAAATCTGGTTCAGAGTTCATCGAATCATCGAATGAAATCCCCGATAAGGTGACTAAAGCCAAGAGAAACGATTATAAAAATATCCTTCAGAGGAGAGCAGCCGCTCATAGGCTCGCGAATGGCAATATTTTTGTAAAACCGGAACTCCTTTGCGATCTGGGCTGCGAGACGCCACGTATTAATTACGAGTTCTATCTCGGGAACGAGTATCGATACTTTTATGCTATTTCGAGCGACGTGGATCTGGAAAATCCTGGAACGGTAATTGTGTTTCGGTTTTAGCTTCTTGTGTGTCACACCGCCATTAATGAAATGCAAAATGCTATTACACAGATTATCAAGGTGGACATCTTGAAGAAAACTAGGAAAACTTGGTGCGAGAAAAATGTTTATCCTAGTGAACCGGTTTTTGTACCAGATCCAAGGGGGAAGGTAAGAGATCTAGAGATCTCGATTCACTGAGATCTTATTTTCATTGTATTTAAAAGAATGAAAGAAGCAGCGTAGCAATAGGCAGAAAAACTTGAATAGTAAATGATGTATTAATTCGATCCACGTGTCGATCTGGCTATACATAAATTGGAATATTTTAGAACGAAGACGATGGAGTGGTTCTCAGTTCCATTGTGTGGTCTGATAAAGAGACACGCGTCGGGCTGCTGATTCTAGACGGCGTGACTCTTACGGAAATTGCAAGAGCCACCTTTGAAACTCCTGGCCCGGTGCCAAAGTGCTTACATGGCTGGTTTACCTTGGACAAGTAAAATAAACTGAAATCTCCTAACGGTGGATATCGGATTCTCCGATCATCGATGAAAATGATATATCGATATGAAAGCTATACTATATATATTCTAGCGTATTGCTGATATATTTGTATTATATTATATTATATATATACTTTTTTCAATTGTTTCCATTTCGCTGGCTTGATGCTTTGTTCGCAGCTTCGAATCTAAGAATCTTATACGATAATGCAATAATTCCCCTTTGAACGAAATTGCGATATTAAAACAGATATTAACAGCACAATATGTATATAATATAATAAATTATTTAATGTCTTCTCCCGATTGTACAGTGTACTTATATTTGGCGATTAGTGTGTCACATAAAGCTTCGATGACGCGTAACGCAATAAATTTACAGTAAAATGGGATGCATTGTGAGAATATTTGTCAGATGGAATGTAAAATGCCCTACGAACTTTGTCCTTAAATTAATATCCGCAGGTATCCGATCCGTTACATCAATTAGAGCGGATACATCAGTTTCTGGTCCTAGATATCTTTACAACGATTAATTAAGACATCGTTTTAAATTACGCTATGTTGTTATTCAAATATTCTACTGTCGTAAACGTGATATCTCCTCGTCGAAAGTCTAAAACTAATTGAAACAAAAGAAATATCGATCTAGATTATTCGCACCTCCGTGAATATTTGATTTAAATAATAGAGCAGCTAGATGGATAGGTTGATCTAGACTCGTGAAAATAATTTTAACGGGGCAGCTCCAAAATTCGATCAAACCTCACGGAGATCCTGCTGAGAACGTTTCTTTATCAAGTTTCGTGTATTCAGATTTAACGGTGAATGATTAGAATAAATAGGGTTGGCACAACCATAGTCATAAGATTACATACTACAAGAGCACTGAACGCGAGCCCTGAATTCGCGAATTCCACCTTAAATAATTAACTCGATAAATCACGATTGTCACATGTCGCGGCATATATCGCGGTCCTTATAGCATAATACGTTTCACGTTTATGGCTCGCGTCGCTGGCCACTAAACACAGACACACAATTCACAGCATATTTCGTAAAAAGCGAAGCCACTCGTTGGGAATCACTGAAGCACCACGTTTAATACATAGTCCTCGAGAAGCTTCGACATTTCAACACGGCGTGGTTCGCGTCCACGCCATAGGAAAGGAGGAAGTTCCTCTGAGCACTGATATCACCAAGTCAATGAGTTGTATCGTCGTATGGGAAACCACTCATTCCAAGATACGCACGTGATAGTTCTCACTCTCTTTCTCTCTCTATTACCCTAGGTAACTACAGAATACGGAGAAAAAATCGCGCGTGAAGAAAAGGATTTAGCTAAAGGGGGGAAAGAAAACAGGAAAACTTGACAGACCCTGATATGAATCTTCGGTACCGAGAGCTTCCTTCTATGCGAAGAAAAAACCATAAGCAACATGCCAAATCGTCTACCAATTTCCAATCCTAGTACAGGACGACACGTTCACTGGAACGCGTGTCACGTTGTAAGGAGCCTTGAGAATGGTTCGTCCTACACGATAATCTTGTCCCGATATTAAGTACGAGAGGTGTTCGAAAGCGATCGTCACTACGCAAGCGGATAGGAGTATAACTTGTTGCTCGAGCTTCACGCGGTATGTTCTACGCTCACCGAAGGAAGGGAATATTTTATTTAAAAAAGAGAAAAAAAGAAAGAAAAACACGTCTCTCGTTCGGGTCATATTGCCAGTCTCGACAATACGACTATCACATTTTTGCTTCTACTTATCTCCCTTGCTTGCACATCTCTCCTTATCCCCATTTCTTTCTCTCTCTCTCTCTCTCTCTGTCTCTCTCACTCTCTCTCAGACTTTTTCGACTTTCTCGCAATCAACGGAAGCTATAGGGTTCATCGCGCTGACATTCTTGCTCTCCGTGTCCGTTTCGCTCTTCGCGATACTGGATGTCGAGACGCCTATGTGAGGTTCTGGGTGCATGGGCAAGATTCCAGAGTTTGCGTCTTCTATTGCTTTCCTCAGCTGTGAACAAACAAAGGAAAATCGTTCCAGGTAAAGATAAGAGGGGCAGACACAATGTCACCATGGCTCAGACAAACCTCTTTTAAACCGACAACCCCGACAAGCCTTCCAATGGCCGTCACATAAGCGTGATTCACCCCGACCATGCTGAATAGACTGTGGACCTTCAACAAAGACGTCCTTTCGACCAGCTGGAAGGGTGCTGGATCGATGTGACACCTCGAAAAATCGACCTCCAACGACATTTCACTTTCTTCCCACCGTTTCTGATCCTCTGCCGACATGTCTATCACCCTCTCGCGAGGCTAATAGCGTTAAAAAATTATTGTTTACTTTGCGTCTGTTTTGGTGTGGGTTCTGATAAGAATATACGGATTTACCAGTTGCACTTTTTTCGAGGTGGCAGGACTCGGTACTAAGATTGGTGTATGTGGCGGTATATCCTGGCTGTCGCGTCTGCCACCAGTCCCAGATCCAATCTCTGGATCCGGGTCCACGTCTTGCAAAGTGGCTGACTTTCGGAAGATCGCCTCGAAGGCAAGACGTATCCTGAAATGATAATAGCGATTGGAAAATGAGAAACGTATATTTCGCTCGTTAACTGTGTCATGGAAAGCACGATAGTTGCGAACAATTTTTTACTCGGGTAAAATGGAGACGCTCTCGTATTCATTAACGCTATGCATCGTAAATAAGTGAAGGGAAGCAAAAAAAGGTATACTGCTGAGAAATACACGAATTCCTTATTTTTCGAACACAAAGTAAGCTTCTGTCACCTGCTCTCCGCACCGGTAACAGTCGTACTGGGCTGACTAGTGGGCTGAATCCTTTCAACGTGAAAGAATTTGTCTTCTTCAAGATCGATTTCTTAGGCTGTGATCCAAATACTGGTGAATGGTAGGTGTGCTGAAAGATAACGAAAGCATGCGAACAACACGTTGAAACGAGGAAAAGGAGTTATTTGGCGACTAGCGTGTGTATGCAGTTAATTGAGTAAATGTGCACAATTATGCGTGTCCATTGACGTCAAGTGGGCGTGACTCACATGATCAGGCGCGGCACCGTTGTTTGGAGACATTGTTAGATCGTTAACACTTTGCCTCTGCATCTTAAGAATATCCGGGGCGGGGATGACCTCGAACCTGGATGGTCTTCTTGTCCTCTCCTGGTCCCTTAATTGTCGCTCCATTTCCTCTCGAGCTCTTTCTTCGGCCTCCTTGTGCCATTTCTGAGCCACCTAAAGAAAAAGTTCAAATCCATAATCCCACTAATGGAAATTTTAAATCGTTCATCAGAGTAGCCAAGGTTCATTTCCAGAGATAAGTCACTGCAATGACTACCTGCAACCTCCTTTCTCGTCCTATATGCTTCTCGATCAACTTGATTAGTTCCAGCCTCTGAATAGATCCAAGCAGAATCATCGAGTCGGGATTGTCAACAAGGGGAAACCCGCGTAATTTGCGGTTTTCCTTTAAAATATCCTTTAATGTCTGATAGGTAATCCCGTGCCAGATGTACTTCACGTCGTGGACCATGAAGTCTTCGACGTACACGTTGTACATCCCTGCAACGTACACGATTTTCGCGTAACAATGTCATTTCCTGTCATTTCCGATTTGAGCAGGTAGAAAATACTTAACAAGTTTGTTACCTTCTTATAAAACTTCCTCTGGGAAGCTCGTTAAAGATAGCAAGAATGACGCGTTAGAAAAATATAGATTGAAGTTATTAAGGGTAGAAATGTTTACCTGAACTGGAAGGCAATAGATCTGGCAGATATGGCAACTTCTTGATCAGAATGATACTGTCGTATATGCTAGGCTGAAGAAGTGCAGCGATGGCGTTGCTGATCAACACGGCGATCATGATAGGAACGATGTGAGTGATCTGCCCAGTCATCTCGAACACGATAACACTCACGGAGATAGTATGCGTCACTGCACCGGAAAATGCAGCAGCTCCAACGGTAGCATAGCCTCCTGGAGAACAACTTTCTTCAGTCACGTCTCTAGATAGCCAGGAGTAGACGTTTCATCGAAGAAATCCGAAATTACCTGGTACAATAGGAGTTATGATTCCACCATAGCGAACGCCGTTGGGAAACCACAGAGCCATAGCTTCACCCACGGCTCTGCCTAGCGCAGCACCAATTTTGAACACGGGGATGAAGATTCCCGATGGCACGGGAACCGTGGAACTTATGATCGAAAAGATGAACTGAAAACAAAGTTCATCCTTCGACTCGAAACTTCTCCCAAGAACGATCAGCTTCGGGTTTCTTTTCTCTCTTTCTTTTTTTCTTAGATAAAGATTCTGTGTGTTACCGTGAATGCCACAAAGCCGAGTAATCCAATGAACACGTCAGTATACGTGGTAGACCAATGCTTAACTATGTTCATTTCCTCTACTCCCAGCTCTTGCTTGGTCCAAGTGAAATTAGTGAACAGACCGTACACTTGATCGTGGGTGTTCAAATCACCGGCCATGAACTGGCCTAGTCCAAGGGGAAAAGACACAGACGACACCAGCAGAGAGACGATTCCAGGGTACAAGAAACGGCTGTAATAATTTCATGAAAACGTGAACGATATCTGAATTACTCCTGACTAGTTACTTGCATCTAAAGTCTTTGGAAAATTCCAACTAGGGATTACTCACTTTTTCTGCAGAAAGCTGTTCATGCTCTTGTTCTTCCTCATGAAGATTACGTACTGCCTGTGTAGCCACACGTAGAAAGAGCCGCCTAGGCCACTGCCCACACCGATCAAGGCGAAGACGAACAACTCTTGGGGATCGAATGGAAAATCCATGGTGAAATTGGTCGCGAACATCGCGGTGATCGTTTCTTCCCGTTGGAACCAGATCGCGAGTAACCGGAACATGGTTGCGCCACACACGGCCGTGAAGAATCCTCTCCAGTAATTTCTCACGGCGAAGTACACCGTGGTGACCTCTATGCTGAAGAGAACCCCGCCGATCGGCGCAGCGAAGCAGGAGGCTACCCCAACCGCGCAGGCCGCAGCGAGCATCTCGCAGTTTCTGCTCTCGTTTTCGTAGATTCCTTGGAAACTGGTGACCAACTTGGACAGGAGGGTGGCCACGATACTGGCGATGTGCACGAAAGGACCTTCCTTGCCCAGAGGTAAACCAGAGCCCAGGGTGGCAGTCAGACCTATCACCTGTTAGACATTACGGCGGCTCTACACCGACGCTCGAAAACATGCAGAAGTGAAGCTTGATGGCGAGGGTAGGAACGCGTTAAGCATATAGGAATCTCGTTGTTTCTATGTTATTGATTAGATATATTTTAAGAGCTTGTAATTCACTGTCACTTCGAAATTATTAATCGAGTACGGAAGTGGTCATGTGAACAAAGAGGGAACGGAAGGGAGGGAAAACGATAGTTACGAGGACTGAGTTAATCAAAGGAAGAAATACAATGAAATCAAGTTGCGTGTCTAACCTTCGCTATCAGAGTACGGAAAGTTAGGTACTCCTTCAAAGCCACGCCACGCAGGATCGTCTTCATCTCCGGAATGCCCGATCCTATGCTCTGCGGCGCAACGATGTGCACGAAACCGGCGCTAAAGAGGATCAGGCAAACTGGCAAGGACACCCAGGCGAGATATTGAAGCGCTGGATGATGCGTTAGGTCCTGATAAAGCCATATCCTGGCTGGTGGAACAAGGATACAGTTAACGAGGTCTCAACCTTATCACGTGCCGAATAGATTATTGAAATCAACGGGTACTGATTAATGGCGTGGAAAATTGTGAAACCTTGAAATAGATTGAATTTCGCGAGAAAAAATTGGCACGCAGTTTCAACGCAGAAAATTATCGCAATGAAAATAAAAAAAAAAAAAAGAATGGAAAGGAACGAACTCTATAATATACTCTATAATAGACTTTTTCTGCGAAAACCGCGCCTTTGATTTTTCTACTTCTTTCTAGTACTTAGATTCCGAACTTTTATCAAAGTTACAGATCACATGGATAAAACTGACCGTTATTGCACATAGAAATGCCACGGTCCATGGCGTAACTGATAAGTGCCATGATTACGCCAAGGAGAGCCAAGAAGACCCAATCTTCGCCTAATCTTGCTCCTGTATGCTTCCAGGCGAAGGCCAATAACGCCAGCAGCTTCCTGCATAGGGGTCCTCTTCTCGACTTCCGCAAATCCTCCGCTCTGGTCTTGTCATATTTCCGTCGTGCTTTCTCGTGGTACTTGAGCTTTCTCGCTTCTTCTTTTGCGTACTCACCCAGGTCCTTCGTGTAGCGACCATACATCTAGACGCAGCACGATCTTTCATCGTCTCTCAACTCTTTCTTCCACCAAACTTTATATTTTTTCTTTTTAATGGAACAATTTTTTTTTAACGAACTTCACGTCAGACAAAGGCCGACGTACAACGCGTTATCAATATTCCGAGAAAACACGATGCGATATTCTTCCTCGCGTTGATAAAATAAAATTTGCAAATAAAATGCGATACATACCAAATATTTAATATCCACGATCTTTGATTTCAGAGAACATTCGTAGAAATAATTTCCTCGTGACAGATTAATTTTTCTTTCTTTTTGGTATTTCCGAGTCGCGAATTGCCAAGAAAATCTTCACGATCTGATTTCACGATCGGACGTGTGTACGTGTATCTCGATAGAAATTGGACAATTAAACGAAAAAAACGTCGAACAGTTGACTAATCCGTGAGATCCACATCACTGTCTTCGATCGATTTAATAAACCGATCACGAGCGTCGAGGATTTTGTAGCTTTATTTCTTTTAGATAAAGTCAATCACCCTCGCTCGTGATTTATCTGACCCGTCATAACAATTGTTTTTTTTACGTGCTATCATCATGCTACTGAAGATATACTCTTCCTACTCGCAAAACGAACACAATTGCAAACCTCGTGCTCAAGCTGGTTTCTCGCAGGAGAAGCGATTAATTCGAGAAAGAAGGAATCGGTGCTACGCAATTAGCCAATATGTCTCAAGCGATTTTAACAGCTATTAATTTGCATATTATTTCGTAAGAAAAAGAAAATCAATATACATCAGCGATACGTAGTGATTGTACGCGGATATTACAGTAGCAATACAGATAACGCGGTATCGCTCGAAAATTCAGCCGAAAGAAGTAAATATCTCGAGCGTAGATTGATAATGAGAAGGAATTCTGTATCCTAGAATGCGCCTTTGAACGCGTGATCGTCGAAACCAAAACGAAGAAGCGATTAATTGCGAGTGATGACTTACTACATGACGTGAAATTAAGGGCGAATACGGGGTCGGCTCTTTGAACGTAGGATACGCGACGAACCATTGTGGCCTGTACGAGGACATTGGAAAACATCTACGGCAAGTGTAATGTTTCGAACCTAGATACCGTTCAAAACTAGGCAACGTGAGAGCAAACAATTTCAGATGGAATGCGAAAAAAAATAAGATCAAACGTCTGCGGTTCGACGACTCTGATCAGCAATCGAGTAGCTAAGACATATCGGTGTTATATCGACATTTAGAAACAATGGCAGAGGTGGGAAACATTCGGTGCATTGGTAAGTGCAATCTGCTATGACACGGCAGGAAACCAGGCGAAACGTCTGACTTACAGGGTATTCATCGTTACAGACGAAATAGGCTCTGTTCAGAGCGAAAGCCGGCATGAAAACTGGATGAAAGATCTCTGAAAGCTTTGAGCTGACCCTGAAGACGAGGGACGCCGAATTCTTCGACGGATCGACTAATCAAGTCACGGACGAGGCATTATTGGAGTACAGAAAAGATTTACGGGTCACTGGTAATTGATTGCACATTTTCTCCACTTATCGACTCGATCTGACAAACGAGTCGGTCGATCGAGTAATCTTTCCTGTGCTTCCTAGCACTTCTACGCTAGAATTCTTTGGGATTGTAATTCATTAATTGCCTGAAAATCGACTAACCGTCATGTGACTAACTTGTTTTCGCGATCAGGCTTGGCAGGCTCAGATACCCGATATTTCTGGCGACAACTTACTGCAAATTGTCCATTACAATTTTATTGTTTCCTTCCTCTAACGATTGCCAGGATCAGTCTGTTACATCACGAATGAATAGATTAGCTAAATCACATGGACAGCGATGAATAATTTTTCCTATCCGATCTCGATGAATCGAGATGCCTCGATCATCGTTATTTGTAGGATTTCACAGTTTACCGCCAACAGCAGAGGTTTCGTGCGAATCATCCGCCACGTTCCTATTGTTTCCTCTCCTCCTGGCGAGTGCCAGGATCAGCTCGTTCAGTCGGAAGCCAAGGAAATGAGTCAAACGACTCTGCCTATTACCAAATAAAATGATCTCTATATCCGGTCTAGACCTCTTCGATCTATTCTACAAGTTCATACCGGCAGGATCCTCGTTCTCGAATATCTATTGTCGATTTCGATTATCTTTGAAAAACGTTCCAGCACATCGGAATTCATTCGTGAAATGTTTTCCATTGACTGACCCGGTGTTTTCGCTGCTGATAGTTGTTCAACAGGTTCCAAGAAATCCCTCTTGGTCGTTCGAAATTTCACAAATTCCCGACGAGAACGTGCACGCGAATTTGCGGACGAACGACAACTGAACGACGCCGTTTTCCCTGCCTTTCGATTCGAACTTGAGCCGCGATATTTGTTGAAATTTGGCAACAGTCAAAATCTTTATTTTTAGCCGTGGCCATCGTCGGTCAACGACGGTGTACTCCATTGTCCATTGCTCCATTAAGCCACCCCGACAGGTCGGTACCATCTCGCAGGTACACGAACACGAAAGGTACGCGAACGAAAGGCGAAGACCATTTCTCTCCTCGAAAACACGTTTCGCAATCCTTTGAATTCCTCCAACGCGTCCCGTGTTTATCGAACGTTTGGAAAGCTCTTGGATCGCGAAAACTAGACGGAAATAGCTGGCAATTTGCTATTCGCCTTACTACCAATTCTACGTTCGATTACGTACAGTGGTTATTACTACCTCGACGTATTATTACACGTATTGCTCTCGAACTTTTCTTCGAATAGTACATGATAGAAACTATGCGCGGTTCCCAATGAAAATTTAGTAGAAACGGAAACAAAGAACAAAGAAAGAGCAAAGGTGTTTTCTAAATTCCAAGTTGAGGGAATAAGCTGGAAATTAAGCTCGGTTTCTATATATCGTCGAGTGGTCTGAGCACTTACAGCTGTCACGTGTGTTTCATTAGACGATAGACCGCAGAAGTGTTCTATGTAGCATAAGAAGCGTGGAATGGAGGCTGAACGAACCGAGGATTGAAATATAGTCGACACCTGAGCGAACCTGTGCATGAATTTGACGTCAACGTCGACCACGTTCCACTGGGCAATCAGCCGCTAACCCAATTTTAGTAATTGATCGTAATCAATTTACGATACAATTAATGACCCAATTCCCGGAACAAACGTCGAATCGATAGAAATTCTGTCACCTGACACTTAAAATGGTCATTTCTCGTTTTTGGGCAATCATAAGGAACCCGAATAGCTTTTTTGGTAAGGCTACCTTCGTCTTTTAGGGTCACGGTACCATGTTTATTACTAAATTATCTACGAGTCGCCTTGGAGTTTGAGTTTCTAATGGTCGGCACGTAATTTTAGAATCTAATTTTAAGACACGCAATTACAATTTACTCTAATTCTTATTTTTAGAATTCCATCACTCTTGCAACCGCAAACAGTTATTCGCGTCATTCTTCGTTGCTTCACATTCGGGAGATACAATTCGGTTTCCCTGTACAAAAGCATCCAAGAGCCGTTTCCAGAAAGGAGCTCACCGACTGGCACATCTCCTGAAAGTAATCGTCTCAACAACGTGATAAACGCCCTCGCTTATTGTACAGCTTCCGACGTGACACATTTCCTACGCCATATACTCTTCTTCGTTATACTACCGCTCGACAAACAAAATTCGCATTCATTATAATCCCCGAATAATCGAGCCTAATGCGATCCTCGTACATCCCTCGACGCCTTACCAATAAAATTCGATAAGAACCAACTACCATAAACGATATCGTCAACAGAGCTTTCATAGAACAAAAATAATCTTTAAAATATGGTCCACCTCTAGATTAGATAAGGGAAAATCAAAAAGATCCCATTTTGTTCTAATTAAATTCATCGATATAATTTTCTCACTCGAATCTTGAGCAACTGGAATAGAAAATAAGTCAAGTATTCTTAAATTATTTCGATAATTTTCTTCTTCTAAAAATGTATCAGATTCCGAACGAATCTTCTCGTTAAAAGGTATCGAAAAGGTAAGGATCGATAATTAATTTCCATCGAAAGGATGGAAAAAGCAGTGCAACGGTGCGATGCAGACGCTGCACCCGGAAACAGTGCATCTGCATACCAGAGGAAAACGATACGTGTGTGCGCGCGTGCATGCAGGTCGAAATGCATTGGTCTGTACGCGTGTGGAATCGAACCTGTATGTCACGTGAGGAGATCTGCATGCTGGTCACGCATGTCGGATAAACGTAACGAGTCCTTAAGCGCTCATTCATGCAGATAAAGGCATTGCTTAGAAAGGCGTCGCTGCAATGGTCGGCGTACCCTTTTCCGTTTGTAGGATATCGCCGGGAATTGAGACGCGCTTACGCGAAACCATCAGGATTTACGCGAATTGTAGAACGTTGGAGAACCAGAATGGAGTGCAATAATATTCCTGTAATGGTACCGTGACGAAAAAGCGAAAGAATAAAGTCGCTCGCGAGTTAAAAGACCCTGAGGATCGAAGCTTTCGATCGAAGAAGAACACTCGTCGAAATGACCGATCGATAGTAGGAAAATCGAAGCACGAATCGACTGTGCACGTAGACACATGATTCCTGATTCCATCCTCCTATGTACCGAGCATAATAATTCGCTAGAGACGCGAAAACGTTGTTTGACAAACGATTCGAACGTCACATGTTACGCAATGCATTTTTATGTTCTGAAAGACGCTGGAATTGAAAAGGGGCAGTCGTTCGACGATGATAACCCATTCTACGATTTAATTTTCCTTCATTCTACGGGGTTAGCACAGAAATTTACATTCGGAGCGTTTCTGTTCTCTTTACGTGTGTTTCTCAGTTAAAACGTTTCGATTCTCCATTCGAATTCCAAGCGAGTACCGCTCGCCATTGCCTATTCGGCATAGGAAGCTCATAACGACCTGTACTACGCATTCTGTGCATTTCAGTAGCAAAGGTAAACGATTTTCCATGGTTCTCGGACGTCGAGAAAATGGTACGCGACGAGTACTTCGAGTCCACAAACGTCTTCGCGCTTCTAATTTCGCGAAGGTGCTCTCGGTGGACTCGCGGTTGATCGTCACAGTCTCGTGATGCAAATTTCGTGTCAAGGTCGGTTTGCGTGTATGCACCACCGAGTGCCGCGAATCTGACATTTTATTGACATTTGTGAAACCTGTTTCAGTCCGTGGTAAATTTGTCATAGATTTGTCACGAGACGCGACGTTTCGCCGCAAGGATCGAGCTTTTGGACGAGAAACTGTTCATGGGCTGGTCGCTTGACAGGGGAAAGAGATCGTGTAACATCGACGGATATCGCACGGCTGAGCTGACAGGGATCGTGACCCGTTATTGCAAACTGCTCTCGCGAAACGTTTATTTAAAATGTAGTCTCTCGCCCACTTGGCAACCGTTCAAAGGTCGCGCTACCGTCCACGCTACCGTAAGAATCCGTGAAAAAAATGTCAAAAGCAAATCAGATTAGATGCGCATCATGGATTCCATCAAATTAATTCGAATTTTACATTTAATTTCGAAAGATATCTTCGCAAAAGTCGCCTCAAATAGACTCGATGATAATTCAGAAGCTTGGAGGAACGTGAATGAGAAACTAGAAAATTGCTGGGAAAAATTTCGAATTACGTTAATAGGATGAAAGGAAGAAATGACACAATGCAAAAGCACATCGCGTATTGGCAGGCGATTCGAGATATTGGCAGACACCTAAATCGTCTGGGATTCGTCTGCTAGCAACAAACACGGTTTAATTATAAATCTGTCCGGCACTGGTTCAATGGCATCGCATTCGACGCGACATTCTTGCCAAATTCTTATTTCCCTCTGAGAAGGTGTGTCAATGGAATTAGTTTTCGATGGGGCACAGTGGCGATAGAGGTCGAGGAACCGTGATGCGTCAGAAAAGCGGCAAAGAGTCAGGAGTACTCGAGCAGCATCATTAAGGCGAATTTCAAAGGTAAAAGAAGAGTTCCATCAATCTTCCGCTCCTACACGCGGAAGTCGTTGTCTATCCTTTCTATGCATGCAGAAGAAGAAATTACGATGCAATCGATGCATAGAACGAGGCAATGTGGAGAATCACAATGGGGTTAATCGCTTACAATCGTATTAATGTAATCGAAGGGATCGAAATCCTGCTGATCCTCGTCCGCGTTCGGCGGAGGACACGGATAGAAAGCTTGCGAGGGTCTGACAAAAAATAAAATATTCGAGATTAGTGAAAAGAACAGGGCCATAGCGAGGAAAGGTACGCGAATTACGCGAATTCTCCTCGGTCTCTACGGTATATGGAATTTCGATGTTCCCGCAATTTCCGGGGAACGATTCGAGGAAATAAAACGACTGGATACCTGTGCGGTCTGTTTCGTCGATTTTCTCGTAACTTTGCCATCAGCCTACTGAATTCCTCCCATTCCCTGTCCACTTCCTCCTCGCTACCGTCCGGATGGTAGTGAAGGGTCTCCTCCCGGAGCTCCTTCTTCGTCGTTTGATTCGCCATAGTTCAAAGTTCCTTCGGAACTTCACGACTAATCTGGCCAAGAGAAAGTATACGATTGTCTTTGCCGCGAGTCGATATCGGTCGCGATAAATTCCTCCTGTCGTTCAAAGCGCGACTGCGGGCTTGATATTCCTCGAGCCTGTTGGATTACGTAAGCGCGTGGAAACCGTGAAAATCATCCTCACAAACACGGGAACGTTCCCTCGAGTGTCTCGAAACGGCGATTAGGGACGTGCTCTTTAGGAGAACTCCAGATCGATGGTTAGCCGGTTGCATTCACGCCAAGGAATCATCGTTGTCTCGTCGAGGATATTCATCAGAGGCGTGACACGGAGGGAACGCAGTAAACTCGACGAGCTCTCCGTGCACACGCTCGATTGCATCTGTCGTCCATAGGGGATCTTCGTTGCTAGTCGGGCGTTTCGCGAAGAGAATGCAGAATCGGGAGGAAAGGACAGCGACGTTTCCCTCGAGAGGCTTTCTCGTATCGTCAAGTCCGTGTGACACTGACACTGACACTACGCGGCGGAAGCAAAAATTGGCAAAAAGAAGCGTTTAAAGCAATTGAATCCGTAGGCTGGACCGTCGCACACGAAGCCAATGAGTCACACTGACAATGAGAAGAGAGAACCACCGTGCGGACCTCAGATGGGAGGGCCTGAGCTGGTCCAATTTACAGACTCATTAGCCTCGCTCCGACTGTTGTCGACGTCGTCGCGCTACGCTCGCGATTTTCCCCCGCGATAGATCGGCACTGTCTATTGTCGCGGACACCTCTGCGGTGTCGCTACGGGGACACTCGCGATCGCCATTTTTCTTTCGCGCTATGAAATTTAGAAGTCTCTCGAAACGTTTGCGAATGAGGAACGAATATATTTCATGCTGCAATTCCCATCTTCTTTTCATTTTCGATCATGCGAATTTTGTTATTTCTCCTTTTTCTCTTTTGACAAAGAGAGAGCGATATATATATAGAGAGAGATCTATATATATATACAGAGAGAGAGAGAGAGAGAGAGTGAGATGAAAGGATACGAGTTACACGTATCCGAGTTGGCTGCGGTAAAGAATTATATCGATTCGAGATTTTCGCGTGTCAGAAAAGCTTCGGATATGTAAGAGAATAAAGATTCGGGTCACGAGAGCATTGACGCGATAATTGAAGCGTTTTTCGCATCAGAGAGCGACGAAAGCTTCAAAGTCTTATCGGTGGTATTTCTAGTAGCGACTGTACGGTAGCCGTACACGGCAATTGGCCACTTCCCTCGACGAGGGCTCGTAGGAAGCTGCCTTCAAAGTCACCAGTTATCATTGATCAAAATTACCACGTAATTTGATGAATGGCTGTCTTATCCGATGCCGGCACCAAGCTCCGATCGATGACTCTTCTCTTCTGCTACTTTATACAGGCTGTTTCCGTTTCTGATACTCGAGTTCTCATACTTTCAAAATGGCCGCGAATTTTAATTTCAGAAACAGATTTTTCATTTTTGACCGCGAGAAAAGTCAATTTAGCGCCTTCGTCACTTTACTTTCACATCAAGGACAAGATAAAATCGAAATTTTAATTCAAAATAAGATCTTTAAACTCCATTCATGATAAGGATTAAACTGTCGTCTTCGTTGCTCCACTTTTATATCACAGATAACTCGATGAAATTTTAATTTTAATTTTAGTTTTCTGTCGTCTTCGTTATTTTATTTTCGTGTCAAAGACGACTCGGCGAAACCGAAAAGATCCCGAGAATTATCCTTCATCGATTAAGATCGAATTTCCAAATTTCGGCGAATTGCGAATGAAATTGGCACGTACCTTTCACTGCGGAAGTTGAGCTTTTATCGGACGAGATTTTCAGCAGATACAGATGAACGATTAACGAAGCACCGTGGCAAATTGTTCGCATTTATCGCTCGGGCTACGTTAGTTGGTTATGAAACACATCGAGCCGTAAATTCGCGTGTTTATCCCGAAAAGCAAAGAGATAGCAGATAATGGACCGGAAAGGATTGCCGACTTGGTAAATTTGTCTAGACGAAGGAGTGCGTCAACATCGAGTAGCAATTATTGAACTTCGACTGAAACGGAAGATTTACCGCGTGCTCTTTGATATTCAGCAATCAGACGAACGACCATCAAACCTGCCTTTTTATCAAATCGTAACTGACGTCAAGAAAATTGAGCGTTCTCTGAATGAAAATGGGATCAAAAGGAGCGTATATCGTACCAAAATAGGCTGTTTATGTTTCGTTTTATGAGCAAAATTTGCAAGTTTCGCGGGTTCTCGAGAATAAGAAGCAGCGAATCTTGGGATCTTATTTTTAGAAACAAAGATCATCGAACAACAGCTGCGCTGAGTGCATTGCGGTTTCAATATTCAATACGTGGAAGATGAATTATCGTGTCACTGTCAAATCAAACGGGGATCACGTAACACTTTCGTAAAAAAGTGGTGCTAACGTATTAATGAAATACGAACCGACTGGGAACTTTTCACGTAAACTTTCCGAGAACTAGAACAACCACAATTCGTCACTGGAAAATAGAAAATAGAATTCTATTTTACGATCTCCGCATTGAGAAGCTTTGACGTAGTCATGCGATGGCAATTGCCGGTATACGCGGAACAATAGAATGTACAAAAACTGAGATGTCATCAAGAACAAAAAAATCGAAGCACACGTCAATCACATGACATCATTGAACGAAATATCAACAAAGGTTCAAATACCCTCTTTTCACAGCACCGAGTGCCATTTATCGCACAATGGCAGCTCGATTCTAAAAGCAACAAACGAAATCAATTTCACGCCAGATGTATGAACAATTGTAATTAAAAGTGTAGCGCAATTTAGACGTAATTACCGAAGAGGAATATCGAACAAGGATACCCGGGGTATCTCAAGAAGCTTTTATCAATGATACCTGTGGCGTGGCTATCGGTTTCACGTATGTAAACGAGCAAACACAGAACGCAAATAAACAAAGGGTAAACAAACATTCGAAAATCTTTCAACTAGTTATACTACACACGAGCATTAATTTTAACGAAACGTGCTAATTTCTCGATTGCCTAAAACGACCATCTCGATTTTAGAACAAACAAATATGGCTCATCATTGTGTCTAATTCCTCGAGACATTTTTCTTCCTCGTCACGAAAATTGCTTCCGTTACTTTGCATAATTCCTTCTCCGTTTTGTTCCTCCACAAGGTGCCTCTTATTGTCCGATTTTTCATTAGCATGAAAGAGCTGTAAAGTTTCTCGTCGAAGTAATTAAATGATTCGTCCATTAGGAAACTAGGTCCCTTTTGAAACGCAGAAATTGTCTCGATATCTCGAATCCTTTAACATAGAGCTTCAGCCGTGTTATCTGGAAAGCAATAAGAAAGAGGAGCGATAATACCGGTTTAACGTTATAAATTCAAGGTTCGCTATAGATCCGCGGAAGATCGGTTGATCCATCGCATTAGGAGAGCTCTCGGCAACTGTCACCACGGATGTCCCATGGGTTCACGACCCCATGCCGGCATATTAGAGCACTGAATTAGTTAATGTCAGTCACATGGCCGAGCAACGAATTACCTTCACGTGATGCGTCAACAGTGCATACGATTGCATTTTGGACAAGATCGTTTGTCCAATCATTGTCCCTTCCTTCCTGTTTAGCTGGCCCTTGTTCTCCGAATCATACTTGTTTACTGACAATTCCTCACGATAATCTTTAACCGAGAGAAATCATGTACCCTTGTTTGCCTTTCGGATGGCATCACCCACGTTTGGGAGGAAAGGAAGAAATCGTAAGTGCATACGTACATACATACGTAATATAAATTCTCTTGTAAACAGGGTCTAGGACGGAATACGCGTACTTGCATATGTATACGTAAATGCGGGTATCATGTGATCGAGCGTAAGCGACGAAGCGTGAACTAACATGATATATCCAATTAACAATTCCTAGAGTAATTAGAAAGATTAATCAGCAAACTGCTTGACAATGTATACATGCTTCTACCGAAGAAAATATCACGCTGCCGTGAGTCACCAATACTCGATTTATTACCCTTATCGCGTATTTTCTCCTGAGCTTGTATAATCGTTCCTCGTGAGCCATGTTTTTTCGCGCGATTATTCGCTTGAAGAAAAAAAACCCTTCGTGCATTCGCATATGTTATCGTGAAAAAAATAAGATAGCCCGAGCACGCCTTTACGGCCTGCTCGATAACGGGCCAATAAACAAAGAGCGAATAACTTTTGAACCCCTTCTACGCTCATCTGTCGCGTCCTGGGCGTACAAAACACGTTCTACTTTTTTCCTTCGTTTTTGCCCCTGTCAATTCGTCTGGAAAAAAAAAGAGAAATAAGGAATCGAAAAAATGAAGCTTTCCTCTAGGCGATGAACATCGATCTCGTTTAGCGATCCTACCCTTTTCGCGATTCGGCAATGATCTCGATCTTCCTACGGTACGTGTGGGGAGAACAAACGACATAGAAAGTATGCAGTTTACAGACACGTGCAATGATGAAACTCCTATTCGACATTTCTATGCGAAACCCGAACGCGACAGGCATAAATGAGCAATTGGCAAGGCAGAATACAAATTTCGTCCATTATCTTTGGTCAAGGAAATTTTAACTATTCCATCTGTCGTAGGGAACCGTGAAAGTAATCACGAAGGGGAAGGAAATAATTTCTTTTACTCATTTTATCATGGAGAACACGAGAGAAATACGTAATGCGACCGAACGACACGCTTTTCATACTCGATACTCGGACCACCAAAGACTTCGTAAATATAATCATCGACGAATCAATTATGCTCGTACGTTCTCCTTTTTAATAACAAACCGTGGTGATAAGGTGGAGTCGATGCAGACTTCGAGTCTGCGAGTCTCCTCGATAACCCTGTTTACTATACCGTGGAACACAAAGAATCTCTGATCAGCCACCCTTGATATTCACGAGTTTTATTGCTTTCGGTGAAAACATTTATTGCGTCGAAAAATTGCCTGTCAGTCGGGTTGACGTTACGTAATTAAAAAACAAAAACGAAAATAATAAGCAAAAATGAGATACGAACAACGCTAATTTGCTAAACAGAGATTAGAGGGTAACTTAGAGAAACTTCTCTTAATCACCGATGACTCGAGTATCTGTGTCAGCTATATCGAGAACAGATACATCAAACCTAATTATCTGTCACAAAAAAGAACCTAATCTTCATGCTAATCTTCGTGGTATCAAACAAGTCCTTGCGAAGTAATTACACAGGTGTCACGAGACTTCGCACTGTGCTGTAACGAAGGATAGCTAAAACTGCGATAGAAGATTGAATTTCTTTGAACGAGCTTCTACGTAAATTGCACGTGACTTTCAGCTAAAGTTTCCTAGGCTTCCTGCCGTGGTTCGCGATCGGATCGACGTAGCGAATAATCTTAACGAGGATCCATCGATCGTTTCTGTATCTTTGGAATATCCTGATTATGCAAATGCCTCGTTTGTTGTCCACTGGTAAATCAATGTTGATAATCGTGCATTCTGATCAGTAATGTGTGCAATCGAGATCCCGCGAGCAAGACCAAGGCCATCGTCATCATCATCGACCAACGATCAGACCGCAATGCTGGTTATATCATCGCGAGCATCGTTTCCATTAAATCTTTGAAACGGACACGCAAGCTCATCTAGTGTAAACATTGCACGAAAAGAAAACGTGTTATTAGTCGATGCTTTGATTCGTTGCACCGAGATTAAGCTGACGGATAACTATATCACAGAGAAGATAAATAGCGTGAAAATAGAAATCGTGTATATTCTTATTCTCTTTTACATCAAGTACAAAATTTGTCTTTGTAATACTATGTAGCATATCAAACTACGTAGAAACGTATTTTGCAGATGTTCGCTGTGAAAATACGAATAAATGCGTTGTCAAAACGTTCAGGGTTCTTGCAATTGCAAAGAAATAGATTATGGACATGTATTTTGATAATTCGAGACTTCTTAAGATTGTGAGATGAAAGATTTTGTTTCTCGATAGTTCTCACGGTATTAGCAAGTCATTTTATGTTAAGAAATAACAATGAGCAATAACACGGGACAAACAATTGGAAGTTAACAGACAGAAAAAACACAAATGGTGTATTTGAAAAGTTCTATCGTGTCACTTGGATTAAATCGATTCCAAAAAGTTTGAACGTGTCAAGTACCCAAGAAGAGCCTGGTTTGCTAGTTAACTACATTTTTGGGAACGAGCTTCATAGGTTCGACTCCCATCTGTTCCGCAAATTCTTTGGATGCTTGTAACTGATTAGGATGATACGTAAGTCCACCCTCTCTGTCCACGCGTTCCATGGACGCCCTTTCCGGATCACCAGGGATCAAAACGGGATTATGTCCAACGCGAGGCAAGTTTCTCAACTGTTCCAACAATTTAGTCAATCTCTCCCTCGATCCTGGACCAAAAGCTTCCGGATTGATAGCCATGAAACAGTGACCAAGATTGGCAATTTTATCTTTAGTCTTCCACTGTCTGATATTAGGACCAAACTCGCTTCCAGACAGAATTCCGCAAAGCACCTCGACCATCAAAGCCAGTCCATAGCCTTTGTAACCCGAATTGCGTTCCTCTCCGCCAAGAGGCATTAAACGACTAGCCTTATACGCATCTTGTGCGTTCGTGGTAACCTTCCCATCGGTTCCAAGTGCCCAACCTTCAGGTATGGGCTCGTTTTTCCTGATAGCCAGCTCGATCTTCCCCAGAGCAACGGCTGTGGTAGCCATATCCAAGACAAATCGATCATCGTTCGACGCTCTCATTCCTATTGACATGGCATTAGTGCCTAAACCTGCGGTCTTGCTACGAGTTGGAGCCATCAGAGGGCTCGTGTTGGTGCAGGAGAAGCCTATGAGACCTTGGTCGATGGCCATTCTCGTGTAGTAACCGCAGATGCCATAATGGTTCGAGCCACGAGCCGAGACCATTCCGATACCGAACTTTTTGGCCTTCTCTATGGCGAGCCCCATGCAGACTTTGCCGATCACCTGGCCCAGGCCGTTGTTTCCGTTGATTAATGCTATCGCCTGGAAACAGTTCCATTGAACTGCGGTAAAGTCGCGCGACAGGTTCTTAAACGAGACAGCGTAGGATTTTCGGATAGAAATGTGGATGGCATTGAAACGGTATCTTCGGTTTACTCCATGTCACTTCAGTGGAATTCACAGAGATCAAGTCAGATGAGAAGCTCTTACGTCTATCGAAATGGAATTAAGAAACGAGCGATAAGAGTATATAAATTGAAACCATCTCGAAATTCAAGGATTATTAGCATGATTTTACAACGAGATGGCTTTTTCCTATGGCAAAAGACTTTTATCCTTTGCCTCGCGAGTTCAGAGAAATTGGTTGGAGGACTCGAAGAAACTATTTAAAAAGTGAAAATGAAATTTCTCGTTGTCACGGAACAAACGCATTAGTTGCTGATTAAGATAACGCTGTTTGAAATACTCTCCGACATATTTTAACACGGGAAATATATAGTTTCCACTGACAACGACAGACAAGTAAACCGGTAAGAGCCGGACTTCCAACTATATGTATCTCTGGTGTAGTGGGTTTAAGTATTTCCAGCGACGAGACTGTGCAATGACTATGCTTTGACTACAC